CCCCCCTCACTCTTCCCTCTCGTCCCCAACAGGACTTCTCCTTGAACGTATTCCTGACGCAAACCTGGCTCGACACCCGCCTACAGTTTCATGACCTGATAGACGCCGAGTACCTGGAGCTGGACTCCAAACTGACCAACAAGTTCTGGGTGCCTGACCTCTACTTCGTCAACGAGAAATCCTCCAGCTTCCATAGCGTCACCGTCCCTAACCGACTCCTGCATCTCTATAGTGATGGGACAGTGGTGTATAAGCTCAGGTATACGTACACACTTACAAACGTACTATTAGTCACACTGATGTACACACAATCCATTCCTGCATCTGTACAATTATGGGATGGTGGTGTATAAACTCTGGTACGTTTAGTTTAATAAGAGTTTTTCGGCACTTGCAACGCAATAAGGTCAAATAAGTGCTTAGGATTAGAGGTGTTACAAGAGAGTAACAAACTCAAAACCAGAAGGTGAAATCAAGACGATAGAATTTTGAAAGGAAAGAAGGAGCAAACCACACCAGAGCACCCGTCAAACACCACTACACCACAGACTCCGGCATCTCTATTATAGTAATGGAGCTGTGGTGTATAAACTCAGGTATACGTACGCATTTATAAACATACTTTGGTAAACTAGATGTACACACAACCGACTCCTGCATCTCTATAAGGTGATGTGACGGTGATGTATAAACTCAGGTTTACGTACACACTGAAAAACATACTACTTGTCACACTGATGTACATTTTACTTAAAAACGTTGATTAAAGGCACAAAAAAGTAAATTTTCAATTTCCACGAACTCTCGAGCAAAAGAAATAACTACTCTTTGGCGGCCATTTTCTCACCTCTGAAACCAGGTGACCCCCAACCCCTTCATTAGCAAATATCTCGACTTGCTTTCAAGATAATTGGATATTTTTTAAAATCCAAATAAACAAGCTTTAATATGAAAACTCTACATGCCCAATAATTGACGGGAGTCTGATTCCACCGCCCCATGATACAATTATGTAGCTTAATTTAGGGTGACCAGGAAAGTCAATGGCGTACGATGATCACCTACGTCTGTTTCAGACTGGGCACTTTATGATAAAGATACGTACTCACGGACTAATATAGACACCGACGTACTCTCTGAATATTATTTATACAGCACATTCCTCTATCTCAACAATGATTTGACGGCGGTGTATGAACTCAGGCATGGCTTACATGGGACTCTAAAGAACTTATTTATTACGTTGTAAACCCACACACCCACATTCTGACATACCTCTTGCGTACCTCTGCCAACAACACAATTCTCGAGGTCACAGATAGGTCGTCCACCCCCTCCCACACACAAACAACAACAAGAAGAACAGCAACATCAATAATAGGTGTATAATAACAAAAACAACAACAACAACACCAGCATCAAAACCACCAACAACAACAACCACACCGGCAACAGCAACAACAGC